TGTTTGTTTGTTTGTTTTGAGACAGTCTCGCTCTGATGCCCAGGCTGGAGAGCAGTGGCGTGATCTCAGCTCACTGCAGACTCCGCCTCCTGGGTTCAAGTGATTCTCCTTCCTTAGCTTTCTGAGTAGCTGGGATTACAGGCACCCGCCACCACGCCTGACTAATTTTTGTATTTTTAGTAGAGACGGGGTTTCACCATGTTGGCCAGGCTGGTCTCAAACTCCTGATCCGCCCGCCTCAGCCTCCACAAGTGCTGGGATTATAGGCATAAGCCACTGCATCCGGCTTATTTCGTGGTTTTTAATGTTATCATAAGTGGTACTTTTTTTTTTTTTAAGATGAGGTCTTGTTTTGTCGCATGGGCTGGAGTGCAGTGGCTCATAGCTCACTGTGGCCTTGAATTCTTGGGCTCAATGGGTTCTCCCACCTCACCCTCCTGAGTAGCTGGGACTACAGGCATGGGCCATTGTGCTTGGCTAAGTTTTTGTTTTTGTTTTTGAGACAGAGTCCTACTCTGTTGCCCAGGCTGAAGTGCAGTGATGTGATCATGGCTCACTGTAGCCTCTGCCTCCCAGGTTCAAGCAGTTCTCATGTCTCAGCCTTCTGAGTAGCTGGGACTACAGGAATGTGCCATTATGCCAGGCTAATTTTTATGTTTTTAGTAGAGATGGGGTTTTGCCATGTTGCCCAGGCTGGTCTCGAACTCCTAGCCTCAAGTAATCCTCCTGCCTTGGCCTCCCAAAGTGCTGGGATTACAAGTGTGAGCCACTGCACCCAGCTGTGGTATTTTTGAAATGTCATTTTCCAATTGCTTGCTAGTATATAAAAATAAAGTTAATTTTTATAATTGACTTTGTATGCTCTGACTGTATTTCATGTATTACTTTCTTAGGATATTGTAGGTATACATGTCGTCTTCAAATAAGGACAATTTTATTTCTTCCTTTTTAATCTTTGTGCATTTTGTTTCTCTTTTTTTCTTTTTTTCTTTATTGCAATGCTTAAGACTTTAAACAGTGCTGAGTAGAAGTGGTTGATAGTGGACATCATTGCCTTTTTCCTGACCTTAGGGGAAAAGCCTCCATCGTGGCTGGAGGTAGTTTATAGAAGCTCATCATCAGGTTCAGGAACTCTGCTTCTAGTTTGCTGAGAGGTTTCGTCATGAATGGAAGTCGAATTTTGTCATTTTGTTAAATGCCTTTTCTATATCATTTCTTCCTCTCATTTAATCCATTAATGTAAACTACACCGACTTCTGAGTATTAAACAGAACTTATATTCTTGGGATAAACCCCACTTGTACATTATATATTGCTAGATTCTATTTGCTTATCTTTTGTTAAGGTTTTTAGTGTCTCTCTTCATAAGAGGTAATGGTTTATAGTTTTCTTGTGTTCTTTTTTTATCTGGTTTTGCTATCAATGTAATGTTGGTCTTATACAATGAGTTAGGAAGTGTCCCTTCTTTTCTGAGTTTGTATTTTTTCTTTTTTATTTCTGCTGCCACTCCACTGGGGTATTTTTTCTTTAAATGTTGCCTAAAATTCTCTAGTGAAGCCTAGATTCACTAAAATTCCCTTGTGAAGCCTAGTTCACTAGACTTCGTCTGGGTTTGGAGTTTTCTTTGTAGGAAGACTTTAAGAATTTAGCGTCTTTGATAAATGTAGGACTATTTTTATTTTTTCTTTCATATCAGCTTGATAATCAGTATTTTTGAAGGAATTGGTTCATTTAATTTAAGTTGTTGAATTGATTGTCGTACTCTAATGTTATTATCCTTTAATTCTAGAATGTGTAGTGCCTTTTCCTCTCTAGTATGGGCAAATTATGATTTGTCTGTTTCCTTTATCATCAAGCCAGAGTTTTATCACTTTCATTGATGGTTTCCCCACCAAAAAAAAATCTTTAGCCTGTTCATTTATTACTTTGTTAATTTTTTCTCTTTGCTAATTTTTTCTCTTTGCTTTCTTTCTACTTTGGTTTTCGTTTTTTTAATTTTGAAATTTTAATTTTAATTTTGAATTTTTATATAATCATATTTTGTTGAATGAAATGCTGAAACCCAGGCAAATGATAGTGACTTTTTTTGTTTGTTTTAGAAATGGGATCTTGCTATGTTGCTTAGGCTGGCCTTGAGCTGCTAAGCAGTCTTCCCATCTTAGCCTTCCGATTACCTTGGACTGCAGGTGTGCGCCACCACACGTGGCTTGGTTTTAATTTTTACCTTTTCTTTTTTTGAGACAGGGTCTCGCTCTGTCGCCCAGGCTGGAGTGCAGTGGCTCGATCTTGGCTCAACACAAGCTCCACCTCCTGGGTTTACGCGATTCTCCTGCCTCAGCCTCCCAAGTAGCTGGGACTACAGGTGCCTGCCACCATGCCCGGCTAATTTTTTGTATTTTTAGTAGAGATGGGGTTTCACCATGTTAGCCAGATGGTCTCGATCTCCTGACCTCGTGATCCGCCTGTCTCGGCCTCCCAAAGTGCTGGGATTACAGGCTTGAGCTACCACGCCCAGCCTATTTTTACTTTATCTAGCTTAAGGTAGAAGCTTACCTAGTTCTTTAATTTTAAGCCTTTTTTTTTTTTTTAATCTCTTTTGCCCATTTTTGTTGTATGTATTTGCTTTTTCTTATAGATTTGCTTTTTTGAGTGCTTAGTATATATGGTGTAGTTTTTCCCCTAGTTTATTGTTTTCAAATGTTTTATACATTTTTAAGATTTGTGTAGCTAGTTACATCAGTCTTTTTAATATTTATGTCACTTTTAGAAAATCTTCCAACAATGCATGAGTTTTTGGATTCACTTGCATTCTTTTATGAATATTAATTTTTTTACATTTAAATCTTTACCTTTAATTCATTATGGTTGTGGTATGGTATGAAGTGGAGAGCTGATAGTATGTTTTTTCTAAATTATACAGTTTTTCTCAATGTTTTTCATTATATAATCCCTTTTCCCAATAATTTTTAAGGGCATTGTTTTAGTCTCTATTCTGTTTCAGAGATTTCTTAGCTATTATCATGGGTATAAATTTGCTACATGAATGAATCATTTTGCAAGGTTTTGTAAAGGAATTTCATTAAGTTTATATAACTAATTGCATCTTTATAGTAATTTTTCAAGTACAGAACTTGTCATGTCTTTCAATTTACTTAGGTGCTTTTTTTCTATCCTTAAGTAAAGCTTTATTCTCTTATTAAAGTATTACATTTTTCTTGTTATGTTTATTCTTAGATATATGTTGGCATTTCTTCTATTGTGTTTTCCAACTGGTTATTGCTAGTATATTCTTTAAATAGTTGGCTCCTGAGACAGTTGTCTTTGGAAAAAGATTCTTAGCCTGGTAGGGTGGCTTATACCTGCAATCCCAGCACTTTGGGAGATGGGGGGATCACTTGAGGCCAGAAGTTTGAGGCTACAGTGACCTGTAATTGTGCCACTGCACTCCTGCCTGGGTGACAGAGTGAGTCCCTGTCTCTAAAAAAAAAAAAAAAAATTCTGTAGTGATGGCTTAGTACTGCTTTACTGCTTTGTAATGATATTATAAGATGTCTATGTAGAAATAAAAGGTGATAGAATAAAGGTCTTTAGATATAATTGTAGGTATTCTTAACTGAATTTGTTGGCCTTACTAATTTCCTAATTTTAATCATCATCTGGATATTTTTAGTCTTCTGGCTATCATTTTCCCTCCCTGTTTTTTTGTTTTTGTTTTTGTTTTTGTTTTAAACCTCCACTTCTGGTCCTACCTTTTTCTTTGTCTCATGTGTTCATGCCTTCCAATTAAGATATTGAGTAAGAGAGTAAGGTGTTGTTCATATTTTAAGATTATGAGCTTTACAATGACAGTGTCTTCCTTGTCCTTCTATTGATTGTATGGAGTGTTTGCATATGTATTCAATAAAAGTATTTACTTAGGTTAATGTGTAGAATTATATAATTGGATATTTTGAACAAATTTACTCTGTATTTGGTTTGATATTTTTCAGTAATGGAGAATTTAATGCTCTAAAAATATTTGTTTTTAAATGTAAACAATCACTACAGTTACACAACAGACACAGAAAGAATTTTATTAGTGTTTGTTTGTTTGTTTTGTTTTTTGAGACAGGGTCTCACTCTGTCACCCAGGCTGGAATGCAAGTGGTGAGATCACAGCTCACCGCAGCCTCAACCTCCCAGGCTCCAGTGATCCTCCCACCTTAGCCCCCAAGTAGCTGGGATTACAGGCACGCACCCCTATACCCAGCTAATACTGGTATTTTTTGTAGAGACGGGGTTTCGCCATGTTGCCCAGGCTAGTCTTGAATGGGACTCAAACCATCCACCAGCCTCGGCCTCCCAAAGTGCTAGGATTACAGGCATGAGCCACTATGCCTGGTCTGAATTTTATTAGTTGTTAGTTTGTTATGGAGAAAAGTGATGCCACTAAATGTTAATAATCATTTGAGAAATTCCCTCTGCTACAATATTCTAAACATTATTAGGTGTTTTTATGGCAATATTTGTTTTTTCCTTCAGCTTTATTTAGGTACAATTTATATAGAGTAAAATTCATCTGTGTTTGATGTACAGTTTGATGACTTTGGGCAATTCTGTATTGTCACGTAACCACCACCACAATCACGATTTAGAAGTTTCTTCACTAAAAAGTTTCTTTACACCTTTGCCTTGGCCTCAAACAGCCACCCCAGGGCTTTTTTACTTGTTTTAAACAATACAGTGATTTTTTAGTAGTGTATTTACAGAGTTGTGCAGCCTTCACCACAATCTAATTTTAGAACATTTCTATTACCCCAGAAAGAAACTTGTACCAATTTAAAGCCACTCCCTCTTCCCACCTCCAGTCCTAGGCAGCAACTAATCTACTTTCTGTAGATTTACTTTTTTTGGCAAATAGAATTATGTAATATGTGTTCTTTTGTGCCTGGCTTCTTTTGTTTGACATAAACATTACCAACTTTTAAGGATTTTCATGAAATAACTTTTTTTAAAAACAGGGAATGACTCTACTAATGATGGGGTCAGCAGATGCTCTTCCAGAAGAACCCTCAGCCAAAACTGTCTTCGTAGAAGACATGACAGAAGAACAGTTAGCATCTGCTGTAAGACACGCCAGATTTTATATGTTTGATACTGCTTTTTGAAGGACCATTATTACAGTGTCTTTCAGAAAGTAGTATCTAAATGTCTTGAAGACTTAATCATTAATACCAAGATAGATGTTTTTATCTGTAAATAAGAGTTTTATTATTTTTAATTAGATTAAGGGAGTCCTTCTGTGGTTAAATAATGCACAGTTAGGGTTGTTTTTGGTATTGTACACCTTACTACTGGTTTTCAGACTTCCAAGTGAATTTATTTAGGCTTAACATATATATATAGCTAATATCTGTAATAAATATGTTTCTGGCAGATAGTACTATATAAGTGTTTACTATTATTTATGAGAAAACAGGGTCAAAGAGTAGTTTAAATGCTGGGATATTTAAATTTTTTAAATCCTTCATGTGGAAAATATATACATTTTATCCTGAATAAATGCAAAATCAGTTTAGAAACTGGCCAACACATGTGTCAAATTTTTTTTTAACACCTTGCATTTATTGAGTGCCATTCATTCATTTTCTTGTTGTTTTTTTTTTTTTTTCCCTTGAGATGGGGTCTTGCTCTGTCACCCTGGCTGTTGTGCAGTGGTATGATCGTAGCTCACTGTAACCTCAACTTCCTGGGCTTAAGTGATCCTCCCACCTCAGCCTCCTGAGTAGCGAAAATTGTAGGCGTGCACCACCATGCCCAGCAAATTAAAAAAAAAATTTTTTTTTTTTTTTGGTAGAGACAGGGTCTTGCTGTGTTGCCTAGGATGACCTTGAACTTCTGACCTCAAGCTATCCTTCCACCTCAGCCTTCTAAAGTGCTAGGATTACAGGCGTGAGCCACTGTACCCAACCTTTTATTTTGCTTTTTGTTTTGAAGTGTTTCTATGCATGTTTTGCCTATTCTCTTCTCCTGATAAACCTGCCAAAAAGGCAAGACTGGTATAATTATTCTCTTATTTTTAAGAAGGAAACTAAAACATAATATGATGGCCAGCATGATCCAAGTAAACATTTTTTGGGGGGGAGAAATAAAACTGTTTCTTTAGAGTGAAGGCAGAATATAAATTGGTAGAAGCTAGTAAATGGTACTTGATTCAAAATGAGAATTTTAGTGATTTATATATGTCATGTCATTTTGCAAAAATGGTTTAATGATTTAATCCTTTTTTTTTTTTTTTTTAATCCTTTTTTTTTTTTTTTTTTTTTTTTTTTAAACTAGATGGAGTTACCATGTGGATTGACAAACCTTGGTAACACTTGTTACATGAATGCCACAGTTCAGTGTATTCGTTCTGTGCCTGAACTCAAAGATGCCCTTAAAAGGTAAGGCTGCAGTCTTTTTTGGGTAAGGGATGTTCACATTTGGGTGAGTAGTATTGTTTTGTTTTGTTTTCTTTAGCATCTTAATGAGATATAATTAATTTATTATACAATTCACCATTTTAAAATGTTTAATGATTTTTACAGTATTCACAAGTTTGTGCAACCATCACCACAATCAATTTTAGGACATTTTCCACCTCCCCCAAAAGAAGTGTCATACTCACTGGCAGTCACTCGTTATACCCTTTCACCCACCTCTAGCCTTAGCCAAACATTAATCTACTTTCTGTCATAGATTTGCTTATTCTGGGCATTTCATATAAATTGAATCAGAATATGTGATCTTTTTGTGACTGACTTCTTTCATTTAGCATGTTTCCGTGGTTCATTCATGTTATAGCACATATAATACCTCATTCCTATTTTATGGCCGAATAATACTTCATTTTATGTATATATCACATTTTATTTATCCATTCATTTTGTTGATGGAAATTTGTATTGTTTCTCCTTTTTGGCTGTTATAAGTAATACTGCTGTGAATGTTCATGTTTTTTGTGTAGATGAACGTTTTCATAATAGTAACTACGTTTGACGTTTTGAGGAACTGCCACAATGATTTTCCAAAGCGACAGTACTGTTTTACATTCTCACCAGCTATGTGAGAAGATTGCCAGTATTTTCTGTCTTTGATTAAGCCATCTAGCGGTGTGAAGTGTGGTATCTCATTGTGGTTGTCATGCACATTTTGTTTTAGTGACTAATGATGTTGGGCATCTTTTCATGTGCTTATTGGCCATTTGTATATCTTCTTTGGAGAAATGTCTGTTTAAATCTTTTGCCTGTGTTTTAAGTGGGTTGTCTTTTTAAAAATTCATTGTGTTTTTACATATATGCAAGTTCTTTACCCAATGGATAATTTGCAAATCTTTTCTTCTATACTATAAGCTGTCATTTTACTTTCTTTTTAAAAAATTTATCTTTTTTCCTAAGTCTGTTGTATGCAGTGTCCTTTTACTTCATGATATGTTTGTAGTGCAAATGTTTTTTAATTTTGATGTAGTTTAATCTTAATTTTAATTTTTTCTTTTGTCACATATGCTTTTGGTTTCATATGTAAGAAGCTACTGTCTAATTCTAGGTTACAAAAACTTACTTCTTTGTTGTTTTTCAAGAGTTGATATACTTTTAGCTCTTCTATTGAGGCCTGTGGTTAATTTTTATGTATGGTGGGAGGGAGGGAGGTATTTGCCTATTCTTTTGCATGTGTATATCCAATTCTTCCAGCATCATTTGTTGAAGGCTGTTGTTTCCCCACTGAATTGTCTTAGCACCTTTTTTGAAAGTCAGTTGATCATAATGTATAGGTTCATTTCTGGACCCTGGATTCTTTTCCATTTATATATATGTCTATCCTTATGTCAGTCAGTACTGGTTTCAAAAAAGAAAGAACATTTTGTTTTTATACCATCTTATGAAAGGAAAAGAGTAAAGAATTAATTACAAATGTTTCGAGAACCTGTGAAATAGTCTACAAATAAGGGTCCTTTCTTCCAGTGAGTATAAATGTAACTTAAAAAATATGTAACTTAATTCTGACTAAATTTATACAACTGTCTTGATACATAAATTGTCAGTTCTTTATGACAGAATTCTGAACTACAACTTGGATTCTAGACAGCTTTATGAATATTGATTTTTGTTTTTTCCCTCAGTCTCTTGTGAAATGTTGTGATAGAACTGAGCAGAAGAGAAGGGAGAGAAGGACTGTGCAGAAATCTGAAAGAGTGACTTTAAAGGTTTTCTACATTTCTCTGAAGTGAATAGTTGTCAGGTATTTATGAGAAACTGCATAGATTACAGCTGATGTATTATCAGTGAGCAAGACACAGTATCTGTCTTCAGGGCACCTACAGTCTAATAGAGAAAGACTATCAAGTAAACAGGTACTGTTTCAGAACTGCTTTGATAGGAAATGTAGGCTGCTATGAGAACATCTAAGGAGGTTCATAAGGGGTATCTAAGGATAGTTTGGGAAGACTCTTAGAGTAACTGGTATTTAAACAGTTAGGTATTATGCCAGCCTGGATGAGAGGTTAGGGAAGTGTAAGAGTGGACTGGAGGAAATAGTATTTAAGCAAGTGTCTGGAGGCAGGAGACTGCAGCATACTTAGTGCAACTGCCTGGAGAAGAATGGATATAGAAAAGGTGCTAGATGGGAGATTAGCAGGGGCCAGCCAGAAATCTTGAAGTTATTTTTAAGAAGTGTGGACTTTGTGTTGTGGACAAAGAGAAGCCATTGGAAAATTTTAAGCAGAGTACTGACATTCAAATTATCCTCTGAATTCTAGGTAGCTAAGATTATTATTTTGTTCTTTAATACAGTTTTTATTTTAATTTTGCTTTAAAAATTGCCTGGTGTGGCCGGGCGCGGTGGCTCAAGCCTGTAATCCCAGCACTTTGGGAGGCCGAGACGGGCGGATCACGAGGTCAGCGAGATCGGGGACCATCCTGGTAACACGGTTGGAAACCCGTCTCTACTACAATAATAAAAAAAACTAGAGCGGGTGCGGAATGGTGGCGGGACACTTTAGCCCAGCTACTCGGGAGGGCTGAGGGCAGAAAAAAAAAACTGAGAATGGCGTAAAACCCGGGGAGCGGAGCTCTGCAGATGAGGCTGAGATCCGGGCACTGCACTCCAGCTGACAGACAAGACTTCGTCCAAAAGAAAAAATAAAAGAAAAAATCTTGCCTGTTGTATTATCATTACTGTGTCCTTGTATATATATTAGTCCCAAAATATTGATTTATTTTACCCTTTCCTGTTATCCTTTGGATGGATAATACTGCTTGGGGCAAAGGTCTAGGTCAAAGCCATTTTTCCTCAGTGACTGGGAGTATTTTCTCCACTATTTTTGTGTGTCCGGTGCTTACTGAATGAGAGATCTGACATCAGCTCTTTGATTTTTATTCTTTTTCTGTTAGTAGCTTTTAGGGTTTTCTCTTTTTTTTTTTCTTTCCCCAGTGCTCCAAGAAATGTGAGAGTGTGGGGTTTTATTTATTCTTATTTTTAGTTACTCAGAAGCAGCTTTTGTGTGAGGGACTCTTGCTCCAAACTCTAGGACATTTCGTTGGCAATTATTTTCTTATGTACTGTTCATCCTCTACCTGCGTTTCTCATATTGACATATTAAAATTTCTAGATCTGTTTTTTCGTCTTCTAACTTTGGTCTCCATGTTGTTTTAAATTTTATAATTTTATGTGAGGTGTGCTCCATGGCAAATGCCTCAGTTCTGTCTTACATTTTTACTGATTCATACGTCTTGCTTTGTATTCATGTGTATTTATCATAGACCTTCTGTTCCTTTGGTAAACTCCTTTTCTTTTAATTTTTGGATCTTAATCTGCGTTTATATTTTTCTGAGGCGCTCTGAAGTACTTTTCTGTTTAAAGGTTTTTTTTTTTTTTTTCCTTGTTTGGCTTTTAACTCTGTTCCTTTTTGGATGTAAGGGTTGTTCTCCCTCATTGTTTGAAGGTTGTGTACTCATATCATGCAATTCATATTCTCTTCCTTAAGTCTCAGTTGCAAATTATCTGAATAGGTAGTTTGCTGGGGTAGCTTTCTGGCTGGCACCGCGTGGAGTGGGCTGGTGGAGATGGCCTGGCTCGCTTCCAAGAGTTCCTCCCCTCACTGTTTTTTTCTTCTTGGATGCCTTTTTAGGCTCCTCCGGGAGAGCGCTCTTATTTGTATGTTTTTGGGAAAGGTTCTTTATAAGCCAGGGGAGGAGTTTCATTCCTGTGTGGTTCCATTTTCCTGAAACCAAAAGAAGCATTTTTTGTTTTTCCTTATTTTTAAAAAAATGTGAAAGTTACTGTTTTTGCTTTTTGGTTTTTATTTTTTGGGTTTTTTTTTTTAAAAAAATTTTTTTTTTTTTTGGTACAGCAACCTCTGATGCCAAACAAAAGAAGTAGTTTTAAAAAAATAAATTTTCTCAAGAGAGTGCACTTAGTAACCTAATTGATACAAGATGTCATGGAAAAAAATATGTCTTTGGAAAAATGGCACTAACTGATAACAACAAGAATGAAAGAGCAGAAAACCATTCCATGAAAGGTGTTTTACAGCTGGAGATGAGGAAGATCATCCTCACAAATACTTAGCAGAACTTGTCTTTGGCAGGTTCTATAGAGTGGGAGGTATGGGTTCTGAGTGCGATGACTCGTGCCTGTAATCCCAGTACTTTGGGAGGCCGAGGCAGGTGTCTCACTTGAGCTTAGGAGTTTGAGACTAGCCTGGGCAACATGGCAAAACCCCATCTCTACAAAACAAACAAACAAACAAAAAAAAAAAAAATTAGCCAGGCGAGGTGGTGTGTGCCTATAGTCCTAGCTACTCAGAGGCTGAGGTGGGAGATTACTTGAGCCCGGGAGGTCGAGGCTGCAGTGAGCCATCAGCTTGCCACTGCACTCCAGGCTGGGCAATAGAGTGAGGCCTTGTCTCAAAAAATAAAATACATAAAATAAAAAAAAAAAAAAGAAAATAATAAATAAGTGGGATGTTTAATGAGGGAGAGTAGAAGGAAAGTAAAAAAAAGAGAAATAGACTGGATTAGCTTAAGAGGCAGTAAGGACCAAGAAGTATAGCCACAGGTAAAAACAAGGTTTGAAATGGCTTGCTTAATGCCGCCCAACAGTAGAATCTCATCATACTTCTGGAGTTAGGTTCTCAATTTAGAACCTAGAGTGAAAACTATTATGTTACAAAAAATAAAAAAAAAATTCTATAAATTACTTCTCAAAAGACAGTATCACATTGCCGTATCTGTTGTAAAAAAAACTAGCAAGCCCCACCTCTCAAAGCGTACCCAGTTTCATCTTTTCTTTTTCTCCCAAAAAAATTTTTTTATTTATTTTTGAGACAGAGTCTCACTCCCTCACCCAGGCTGCGGTGCAAAAAAATGATCTCAGCTCACTGCAGCCTCCGCCTCCCAGGCTTGAG